AGGATGATGTATCCCTTACCAAAGCAAAAGTATGGGAATGGTATGGGACTGTTTGGGCTATATCTGACCCATAGATGGTAATGGTATGGGAAGGTAACATGGGTATGTGGAAATGGTATGGGGCCTAATTTTACCAAATTTTTAACTATGGGACATGTATGGGAAGAAAATTTGAGGCTTCCTATTTTATGGGAAAACTATGGGAATAAGGTTCCCATACACATCCCATACCAACAAGAATTCCCACAACTGTCCTCACCTATGGCATTGATATGGGACATTCATTCTGTAGAGTATGCCATAGATTACTCATACCAGCTGACAGATGTTCAACATGTCCCATAGATTTCCCATTGTGAAAACTTTCCCATAAATTTCCCATTGTGAAAACTTTATGGGATCTCTATGGGACATTAACTCTCCTTATTTCAACCCTTACAACTCTTGTTTCCCATAGATTTCCCAAGACAGTAGTTCTATGGGAAATCTATGGGATATCTCCATGCTCATAATGACGATGAGAAAACACATGTCCACACATTGCATAATTGATAATTTTATTAATTGGACTGAGACAATATGTCCCCTATTGTAAACAAAGAGCAAAAAGCATTAATTATTTTGACAGGCTACATTTTTTTTTAACTGAAATGCCCATAACAAGTCTAAGAATATTTTACATGAGAGATTACTTTGAAAAGCAACACCCTGACATGCTTACTAATAAAAATAGATGCAAATTTCATTCATTTGAGTTTCTGTTCACCTACTCACTGTCATTATGTGTTACATGCCATAATTCAAGTGTTAACTTAAGTTTTATGACACTTATAACAATATCAACATGCAGATACTGCATCATTTCTGTTGAATGATAGATTCTTTTAATTATCACTATAAACTGAAGTCCTTTTTTCAAAAAAGTTTTTCGTGTTTGAAAAATTAAGTTTGGTAGCAAAGATTCAAGACTATATTATATTAATTGAAGTCTTTGTAGACTGTAAGTAGCAAAATAACAAGCTACATGTTCCTTATTACATGAAATTTTTGCAATGCCTCAACTTTGCGAATTTGGCGATTTTGAAATATTGCGAAGGTTAAGTTGAAAAACGTGAACATAAAAAACAAGTGTTGTAAAAATCAAGAAAGAATAAGAACATAACAAGTCCAAAGAAAATGAAATGAGTTAACTTTTTTTCTACTAAATAACATAATAGTTTTTTAAATTTGCCAAAAGGTCATGGAAAATCGTCTCACTGAAAAACGCAGAATAAAAGTGACTCAAAATACAAAATTGCAAAATTTAAGTATTGTGAAATATGTAAACCTCAAAATCATGAAATTAATGTGGCGTGAAAATTTAATGTAATAAGGCATCAGTAAGCTTAAATGCAAGGCCCTATGCATCCGATGGTACGATGAAGGATGATGATGAAGCTTGAATGCAAAAAAAAATCAATGATTTGAAGTTATACAATCATTGTTGATGTTTATCACTTTGGCAGGCTAGTGACAACTTTCGGTCTAAAATTTGCAAAAGAAAATGCGTGTATACATGTCAATGTTCAGTCCTTTTCAAAATGGTTAGGAAAATGCGCAGCATATCCCACCTCACTATCTGAAAATTTAATGTACAGACACACATCTATAATGTCTCCTAAAGGGACAATGTCTTCTAAAGGGATAATGTCAAATCTGTTCTTCTTTGGTTGGTGGAGAGGAACAATGTGATTGACAGCATTCCCCAATACTTCATGGCTTTCACAAAGTACTCCACTAGACTTGGGCATTGGAGCGATGACTGCTCCACAAGTCATCCTGGAAGTTTCCTTAACCAAAAAGAAATATTTCTTTTAACAGGCTGGGCTTGTGGTGGTAGTTCATATGGCCTTCCTTATTCTAAGAAACCTGGTGTTTGTTAGCTTTCTGTTTTACTTTCTCTTTTCTATTGTGGAAAAAATTTTAAATGATCAAATGTGATCAAACTGGATGGTGAATAGGTACATCCACCAAGCCCAGCCACAAGTCTGAAGACTGCTATGTAACAGACTCCATCATGGGGCAATTAGAGTTGCACAGATACTTTAGTCAGGATGCATTCATGATGTTGAGGGTAGGTATATTTTAAACTTGCTAGACTGTGTAGTGATACATTTTGGTACTTTCCCTAATCGTTCTGTTGTCTGATATGTTAAATTAGTAATTGTGGTTGTTTGTGCATGTTTTAAAATCAGCAGCACAAGCCTCTCTTGATAAATGTATAAACCTGTAACCAAGGCAGGTTCTGATGTTGTTATTTGAACAACGAGACAGGCTTGTAGCCACAAATAAATGTATTTGTACAGGAAAGTACAAAAAAGAAAAGGGTGATTGCAAGCTAAAAGAAATAAATAACAAACAGCAAATCACTAACCAATAATTTACAATAAAATAATTAAAATAATGAAAATAAAACAACTGGTAAAAGTACAATAGATTGTCATGACAGTGCACTAAATTTAACAAACAAGACAAATTCAAAGTATTGCATGACAGAACAGTGATAATTGTGTGACACTTAATAAAATACTAAATCTCTTATCCAAACATATAACTACTGAATATTGAGCTATTCTTAGTGGAAATGTTTCTTTTCAAGCTAGAGTTGGAAATTCGATTCCCGGGTTGATACACGTGCATGCGAGAAACACCAAACCAAATAGGATCTCTTCTTTCTTTATTCCTTTTCCTATTCCTTCTAGTGTTATTATCTCGAAGTGGTCAACCAAAATTATTACGTAAAGAAATCACCTAAGTATTGTGATCATAGCTTTAGAATAATCTCGATTTTGGTAATGAGGACGTGGCAATTAAAAGAACTAAAGGAAAGGTAAATAACAAGCGATAAATTTTACTTTGAGTAACGACTACCAGCGAGATAACATAATCACAAAACAGGTTGTTTCTTACCAACGTTCTTGGGTCTTGATTACTTTATCAAGGCTTATAGTCTAACTTGTCTTCTATTCAAAAACGATCTTGATCACACAGGGTCTCATTTTGAACTGAAACGCTAACTATAATTTTCTGTTTAAAAGGAACTAATCACGGGGGTGTCAACCCAACCAAAAAATATTTCGCAGCTTTTTTCGGAAGCAGTAACACTTAGCTTCAACGGAAACAGTTACATGGCTCCCCTAAATTAGTAGCTTAATTTACTCCAATCTATACATGCAAATTATTAGAAATTAATGCTCAGCTTATTCATAGTTCATGAGTCAATGGTAGGTCTATGCTAAGTCTTGATGTGTTTATCCCATGATGGCTCCTTGACGGGGATTCCTTGGTCTTTAGTCATCTTGTGTCGACGATAGTAACACCAGCTTGAGAATTGGTCTTTTCAGTGTTGACAGTGTCTGATTTCTTTTTCTGTTGAATGGTAAGTACTGACTACCAACTTCCAGCTTAACCTTACTTACCAAACCATCTTTGTCTGGCAGGGCTTTGATAACATGGCAGACTTTCCACTGGTTTCTAGGTGTGTCATCATCCTTAATGATGATGACATCATTCACTTGAAGGTTTTTCCTTGTGCGGGTCCACTTTTGTCTTTCCTGTAGAGACAGAAGAAATTCTTTCTTCCATCTACAGCAGAATTCATTAGTAAGGTGCTGTACCTGTCGCCACCATTTCCTTGCATAGAGGTCAGCAGACTTGAATACTCCTGGTGGAGGCAGAACAACCTTTGTCTTCAATTTAAGGAAGTGATTTGGTGTAAGTGCTTCTGTGGAGCCTGGTGACGACATACTTTCTGCTGTTTACAGTCGACTGTTAACTATGGCCTCTGCTTCACACATAAAAGTTTGTAAGGCTTCGTCATTCACTTGCTGCCCATTCTTTTCCAGTAAAGCAGAGAGCACACTTCTCGCGGTTCAGATTTTGCCCTCCCAATGAAGTTAGACCCGTTGTCACTGCACATCTGGTGCACTGGGCCACATCTGCATATGAAGCGACAAAGTGCGTTGATGTATGAGTCATCCCAGCCTACACCTTCCTTGCAGAGAAGTTGCAGTATTCTTTTCTCTCTTAGTAGAAATGTAGTGGTGAAACCTAATGGGTATCATATGGAGCTCACTGTCGACAGAATACTACGCCCAGTGAGTGGTTTGTCCTTGAGGGTGATGTGGAAGTTGAATGTGTTGTTTTCAATGTTCCATTCTACGCCAAGTACGCGTTTTGGGGGAAGTAGATCATAGAGTCTGTACCCGTGATGCTATGAGTACAAGCTCCACGACTTGTCTGCTCTTGGAGGTGAATTTGTGGAGCCTGAAACTGCCTCTCATTCACAGTTCAGTGCTGTTCTTGATAAGTTTAATTGCTTCTTGCACCATGAGGATTGACTTAAGTCCGTCGTCAACATAAGAATTTGTCTTTATGAATGAAGCTGCTTCCTCTCCTAGGTCATTTCCACCGTCATTGGCAGCAGTTTGTAGAGCTAAATTTGTCCAGCCAGGGGAGGAGGTGGCTCCAAATAAGTGTACAGTCATTCTGTATTCCTCCGGTTCTTTTGTGGTGTCTCCTTGGCCCCACCAGAGAAAAAAGAGGAAGTCGCGGTGTTCCTCATTGATGTGGACTTGGTGGAACATTCCCTCTACGTTGCAGACAAATGCTACAGGTTCTTGTCTGAAGCGACACAAGACACCAACCGAGGAGTTCATCAAAGCGGGTCCTTGTAAAAGGTTGCAATTAAGGGAGTGGCCCTGGAACTCTGCTGAGCAATCAAAGACTACTTGTAGCTTCCCGGGCTTCTTAGGGTGATACACGATGTGATGAGGAATGTACCATGCTGTTTCTCATTGGTTCAGGGCCTTCTCTGCATGTCCATCGTCTAACATTTTTTCGATGAATGTTACATAGTCCTCCTTGTACTTTGGGTTGCTGGCAAATCTATGACTCAGCTGCCTAAGCATACTTTCGGCAAGCTTTCTGTTGCATGGTAATTTGATGTTTTTGTCTGTGTCATGGCCAAATATTTTGTAGACTGTGTTGAGGAGGTTGGGGGCTGCCCTTCGTTACTGAGAACAGATTGTGGAACTGAGAATGTAGTAATTGCAGGTGTACAGAGCTTTCTAAGAGCAGAGTGTGATGATGATTTAGCTGGTGAAAAAGCACACTGTTATGGTCCTTCAACTGGAAACCAATGGATAGAGGCTTGGTGGTCCTACTACTGCCGTAGCTGTCTCACCTGGTGGATTACCTTTTTCAAGGACCTTATGGACCGTGGAGTATTTTTACCTGGCAATACACTTCATCAGGAATTCTTATGGTTCTGCTTTGCAGAGTTAATTCAGCAAGATCTAGACTTTGTGAAGATTCACTGAAATACACACTATATTCGCCAGTCAAGGCGTGATACAGTTCCCAGAAAACCAGATGAACTATATTTTCTCCCAGAAAACTTTGGTGCCTCAGATCTCTTGCAACCAGTGTCTCCTGAAAAGCTTGATGAAGCCAGAATGAAATGTAAAACAACTGATTCAAAGAATGCCTTTTAGGAGTACTTTAATCATATTTTTGTCTCTGTGTAATATTTCGAAGCCCACTAACTGGAGAGAAGCTTTAAATCTGTTCTCTTGTTTAGTAACAATTGCTTTGTAAACCTAAATATTGAAGTCCACAACCAAGAGCATACATGTAAAGAAAAGAAATAGGACACAGTGTCCAGTAACCATAGAAATACCATTTACATGCACTTTTTATCCCCTTGCCCTCCTTTCTATTTTAAGCCTCCTTTCTCGACAGTCAAAATTTGTGAAGACCCCCTCTACAATTGCCTGCTGCCCACTTCTCAAAAGTGATTTTAAAAAAATCTCCCTAACAAGCATGACGTCTAAAAACATATTCTTCTATAGTTTTGCTCTTGGAGATAAATTTAAAATAAACATGAGATTCTGGTCATTGAAACAGAAGGAAAAATTAGTTGATGCACTTTTCATTACCAGCAAAATATGAAAATTTTATTTAAGCATTTGTCACAATTATACCTAACATCAATAACATCAATGACAACATGCATTATACATTCATTTGATAAATAAAGGGTCAGAATGTCATCATTTAGTTAGAACACAATGTATACTATTTTAAGCATAACATTGTTAATTTGTATTGAAACAACAGAACTGAACAGTCAGCATTTTTTCTATCTAGATAAGAACTTTTTCTTTAGCAAACACTATCACTAAGGATGTTTTACAAGCAACTTTAACTATGTGTAAAAGCCTAGCATTATTCACACTTTACCAAACCCAGGTGAGCTGAACATGCATTCTGTGCACTCATTCTTTGAATGACTCATAATTGGTGAGCAAATCACAAACTGGAAAGTTAAGGGAGCAGGAACAGGTGTTTGCTGTTAGTTTCCTATGGGGCTTATCGTGATCAAACATGATAGTTAAACTTGTGTCAAATCCAATAGCAAGTATTCCATCACATCCTGTTAGCAACTGCAAAACAGGTGCGAGTTCCACTTCACTGGAACACACTCACTCTTCTGTGTCAGGATCTAGGACATTTGAGGTCACTAAGCCTTGTTCAACATCTTCCAGGTAATGATTGCATGGTTTGAAAAGAATCATAGTTGCCATTTTGTAATTTAAATTCATGTTCTCTGGATTTCTCCATTTCTTCCCTCATAAAAGGCTGCTTCAAGTGTTGTGGCATCCAGCTTCTCTTTTGTTGTTTGCTTTTTCTAACATTTTTAACAGGAACAAACAAGCCCCTCACTACTTGGGGTTGTCCTCCCTGAGTTTGACGAGGATGGCTCTTCTTGTCTTGACAACTTCAAAGAGAGCATGAAACCACTTCCCGAAACCATGGTCCTCTTGGAACCTCTTGATTCCTGTGGCGGTTCTTTGTGTGAGAGCTGCCTGCTTACAGAAGCCAACACATTTCTTAAACTTGCTACGCAACTGATTGGCAGTAAATGTGATTTCCTCACCTCTGCTAGAAGCCCGCGCCTTTAGCTCTTCTAATACCTTTTGTAAATTTTGTGACAACAATGTCAATTAAGTCATTGCCACTTAGATCTCCTGCCAGCTCCCTTGCCTTTCTTCACAAATATTTGCAAGACATCATCAATATCATCAATCTCCTTCTCTTCATCATCTTGTTCCTCGTCTGAGTCATCAAAACTGTCATCAGTTGTTTTCCTACCTTTATCAGTACATTAAAAAGGCCAGGTTATTCAAAAAAATGCAATGAAACTGGTTGTCTACAACCTGAGCAGTTAGCCTCTCGTTATTATCATGCTGCAGTAACTTGCGAGGTTTGTCTGGATTGTTTCTAATCACATTCAAGATGCCATTTGTCATCAGTCCTTTAATAAACTGATCAATTTCAGACTGGGTTGATAAAATGAGCTGGTGAAGGCAGATGCATCTGATAAATTTTTGCTTGTCTTCAAAAGCGACAACAGGCTTTGTATATCCTGCTTTGAACCTTAAAGGTGTATTAGAAGAAACTTCTTGCTTGAACTTTACTGGGCCGCTGATGGCCTCCAGCTCTTCTAAAGTTGTTTTAACTTTCCCACTTAGGAGGTCACAAACTGATACTTTCATTGCATCTAATTTACCATATAGTATGTAGTCTACGACAGGGGCAGCAAACATTGCAGGGCCAGGTGATCCTTGATCTACTGATAGTGCTGAAATAACGCCATAATGGAGATACTCCTCCCTCTGTAGAGCAATCGTATTGTGGACAAATCTACGGCTGGCAGGAGGCCCTGTGAACAGACTTGATGACTACTGCATATGCTTGTGCATCAGGCAGAATAAGTTTTTATGGTCCTTCCTCATCCACTGCAGGTTCTCCAATGAACTGGACAGTTACAATTCCATTTAAACAGTCAGGGTTTACTCTCTTCATTTTCACCAAAGTATCTTCCCACAGGCAACTACTTCTCACTTTCAGCCTAATCTTGTTCTCTGAGGTGCTGCTTTTCTGGAATAGTTCACTCAGTTTTGTACAGAGGTCTTCCTGGTTCTCCATCATGTACTTTTCACTTTTACCAATTTTTAGAGATCCACATCCATCATTGCCTAAGGATATGTCATTTTCAAAGTCGTAGACATTATCACTGTCAGTCTCATTAATAACAGATACATATGATTGAAGAGGATAACAAGAGCCTGCATTTGCATCTTCACAGAGTTTGGCAATTGCAGTTTCTATTTCTTGATTGTCACTGAATACTTCAAATATCTTCCTGTCAGGTAGTTGTGGAAACATTTCATTCAGTGTCTCAAATCCAGAGTTTTGATTTTGATATTCTGCAGCAAAACTGGATGAAATACTGGCACTACAACGAGGAAGGCTAAGATTGTTGCTACTTATGGCACCACTAACATTAGCATCACATTTATGTACACTAGTACTACCTGACACAGATGAGGTGGTGATGGGGAGAGGACCTGACAAATCACTTGGTGTAGTTTTAGTATTTGAAGCCACAGAGCTGGTATGGGTGTACTTTGTAATTTTACTTTGTATGGGTTCACCCAGTTCTTCAAAATCCTTTTCACTGTTACCCTCACTGTCACTACCATTAGAAATGACATCAACAAGGCCTTTTAAGGCGTAATCAAGGTAACCTGAAGAACTACAAAGACACAATGTTAACCTGTTATAAGGTTTTCCCAGTTCAGCTTTGTATCCTTGTAAACTAAATGCCTCATCAGATTCTTCCAGTCGTTTAACTTCAGTTCCATCTGGGTATAGCAATTTGTAGGAATTCACAGAGCTGTAGACAATTTTATTTCCGTTATGTAGCGATTGCTTGGCCACAGCTAACTTCAGTACCTCCTCACTATCTGCTGTTTTAGGAAGCCTTATGGGAAGACTTTTCCCTCGCTGAGGCTTTAGCATACTTTCCTCCTCCACGTAACGCATTATTCCTATGTTTATTGTCACTGGTTTGTCCTTTTCATTCTTTAACTTCTTGTTCTTCCTCTTAACATGAGACACCTGCTCATCTTTTTCTTCTTCATGAAAGTGTCCAACTTTGGATCAGGTTCTCTGAAAGATACAGCATCAGATGTGCCTAGATCAGCCCCCAAGTATCCAGTTCTGCTGCTATGAGTTTTCATCATTTCGCAGCTAGAAGAACGATCATCAGAGTTCTGGGATGTAGGATTACCACATGTTATGCAGAATTTAAAACAGGATTTTACCTCGCTACCACAATGGCTGCAAAACATGTTATCGAAAATTTAATACCGAAAAGCACGATGAGTTTGGCTTAGTCACATGTTAAAACAGTCGCCATGTTTGACGCGGAAAAATTGAGGCTCTCTCAGATAATCGCGGCGTAAGTGCCCAGTCTTTTGGTTTGTGTTTCAGGAAAATTGGTTTGTGTTTTGGTAAACTGATTTGTGTTTCAAGAGATTGGTTTGTGTTTTGAGAAACTGTTTTGTGTTTTGGTAAATTGATTTTTGCTTTGAGAAATTGGTTTGTGTTTTTGAGAAAATGTTTTGTGTTTTGGTAAACTGATTTGTGTTTCTGGAAATTGGTTTGTGCTTTGAGACATTGTTTTGTGTTTTGGCAAATTGACCCTTTTTGGCCACCGTACATTTGTCCTGGATTAAGGTAAGAGAAGCATATTCCCCTCGTCATGTAGAGGTCTTGTCTTTCTTTAAATGGCTTCTCCAAAAAGGCCTTGCATGTGGCGAGACTGTGTCGGCCCTTACATGACATACACAAACTCATATCCATGGGGGCTTTGGGAGGGAATTCGTTAGCTATGGTAGAATAGGTGGTGCTATGTCTGTGCCATCTTCTCTTATCTCTTCTATCGGGGTTCTACTTGGCTTTTTCGGCAGGGGAGCTTCTTTCTTTTCCAGCTCTCTACTTGTTGAGTTAGAGCGTCACGAGAGAACACAGGATGATTGGCGTCGAGGGATGCTTCTTGTATAAACTCAACGAAATTTTCAAAGGAGTACTGGCCACATCTCGCTTTAGTTTTCTTTGCGCTTTCCCTCTGCTTGTTACTGTAGTAGGTGGGCAAATGGGCAGTGAGCTGTTGAATCATGGTTTCTTGCGTCATGACAAGAAAATCACTAAAGTCTTGAAGCTATGCGCTGGTTACGGTGACCAGTTTTTCAGTTTATCCCTGTAAGCTTCATAGATTTTAAAGGGGTTTCCGAAATTTTCCTTCAGTGTTTTCCTGGCTCTCGTGTAAGCGTCTTCTATGCGCAGTCCTAACAGGCCACTAATCATTTTTTGTGTTACTCCACTTATGTATTCACCGAGATAATAAAGCTTGTAGTTGGGAAGAACAACTTGTCAAAGGTGTTTTCCCATCTTGGGTATTCTAAAATGTTTCCATTGAACACAGGGGGTTTGCGAATGGGAATGGTCATCCTCCACAGCACGTTTGGAGACTAAAGCAATTTGCACTCTATATCATCCCTAACAAGTTGTTGTCAAGAGAGCTGCTCAGTACCAAAAATATTTCCTCAAGGGAACGTTGGGCGAAGGACCTGAAATTCTTCATCTAATGAAGACTGAACAATGTTGGCAGATTAGCCAATGATGAGAAATTTTGATTTCAAACTTTCTCTTACACAAGCCAGTATGCTGCGCTATATGCCTTAAACATGACGTCGTCTCTATTGAGATTCTTTTCCTGAACTTTTTTTTAAAATGAAATTTAGAGACTTGCCCCTGTATTTCAGACTCAATGGGATCTTTGTGTAGCTGGATCGTCTTATTAAACTGTTGACAGGGTGTGGCGTTGAAATTTAGTGATGCTTGCATAAGAAGCAAAACATTCCTTTTCCTGGACCCGATTTCGTGCAAGTGTTTAGGTTCATGTGGAACAACCAGTTGTGCACAAATCTGTCCTATCTAGGCCTAAGCTGAGATTTTTTTTTAGCTGATAGGTGTTAGTAATAGTCTTTACCATACCTGTAGAAGTTTTAAATAATGATGTCTTTTGAAAGGGAACATAGTGTTTCGACTTCTTTCATAGTCAGAGCTGTGTCTCCAGGTGATTTCTCTACGTTTTGCATTACTTCTTTCGGTTGTAATATTATCATCCTTCCCTCACTTGGTTATTGAGGAAACGATCAGTTCATGTGTACTCTAACTTTGAAACATCTTTACTTGCTTTGCACTGACATAAGCTGTTATCTGGATGCTTCCTCAGCTTAATATGCTTTACCTCTCTCCCCTCTATTTTCACTTTATTTAGTTCTTGGTGATACTTCTGGAAAAGCTGTACAGTGCACTAAGGGACTGCGTTTGCCCATTTCTGAAGTGTTTGTGTGACCATATAGGGGTGAAACAAAGCATATGCTCTAAGGTGCTGTTGACCTTAAAGAACTCATCTGCAATATCAGATCGATTAAACAAAGAAACATTGTCTGTAAAGCAACCTTACTGTATGAAACACTTAGAATAAAACTGTTCAGAACTGACCAGGGCCTTAGTTCATTTTGCTTATTTTGATCATTTTTCTCTTCAAAGGCCTCTGATCACCTTTCATCTCTTGGTACTTGCATTTAGCTTGGCAATAACCATGCCTGATATTCCAGAGAAGTCTTATCCATCCAGTCGTGAGGCTTAGGGGCCTCCACTTGGTGACACAACCATTGTGTGACAAGCAACCCGTCTTTTGCCATTTGTTGCCAAGTTTCAGTGAAAAGATTTCTCAGTTCCAGGGGGAGGCATATTCTTAACTGAGTAGAGGGTAGCTTAAATAAGACATTAAGACTGTATTTAAAAGGGAAAATGAAAAAAACCAAAATCTAAATAACTAAATTTTAAGAAGAACATCAAAAGTATTGCAAGACATAAAGTGATAATCTTATCTACAATATCTCTATTCTGATTTAGCTATATTTAGTTAATTTTGGCTGTAAATGAAAGTAAAGATTAGCATAGTCAAATGTGTTAAGAAAGTAAGCTCCATTGGCATATACTGTGTGAGAGAAGTGTACCCCATATACTTGATCCTTACTTCTTCCACTGCCTGCTTGCTATTGGGGTTATAACGCTGAGACAAATTGGCTGTTAAGCTTGTTAGAAATGGCCTTAGTTGGTAGAGTGTGTATGCCTCAGCAGAATGACAAGCTAGCGCCTAAGAGTTATCATTCAGATGTAAATATGTATTTATATGCAGGAGTCTTTTTCTTGGCGTCACCTTTGCAAATTCAGGGATGCCCTAAATGTAATAATCTTTCCAATACTCTGTATGTGATGACAAATAATGGATGCTCATGGCAATTATCAACCTAGAAAGGAAATCTCCCTAAAGTCAATTCCCTCGACAAGGAGGGATTTCTTTTGCACTTGGACTCTGAACTGCGGACCTGTTTGTTTCTCAAACAGTTTAAGTCAGCAAGCAGTTGTTAAAAAGGAGAAAGTAATCCTGTGGTGACATTTGAACTCAGGAAGTGCTTCTGCATCGTGAGGTGCTTCTGTCCACTACAAACCACTAAGACAATAGTTGTTTGGCCTCTCTGGTGCTCTTACATCGCCATTATCCACCTCCTCTTTTTTATCCTCAATGATGTTTCTCAGACCAATTTTTCATTATCTGGCTCCTAAAGTAGCTTTGTCCTTTTTATTTTTCAAATCCTTTAATGTCAGAGTCAAAACCACCTTCCTGAATAGAGGAGTTTCTAGCAAAATAATTAGGTGTCCTCTCTCCCTCTCTTATTTCGATCTACAAACATTACGCGATTAACATTGCTGATCCTAGCAATATGCAGGACACATGTCATATGAACTTTCACTGCGTGAAATAATCCGAATACGGTCCCTTATGTAGGTCTTATACAGTCAGTACACAAAGTCGTGTACGGAATCTATAAGGAGGTGTCATGATGTATAAGGTACTGTTTAAGGATCAGTATACGTCAGGCTATGCCAAGAAAATAGCAGGATCTTATACACTTGTAGCAGGATTTCTTATACGCCAGTACTCGTTTCAGTATACATGTTGTATACTGAAGGAATTATAAGGTATACTGATTTTGTGTGGAAGGCACGTATACAGTCGTTGCAGGATTTCTTATTCATTATTACACAAGTCCGTATATATGATGTATACTGCATGAAGCAGGAAGGGTACTGATAGTAGAAGGTGCGTAATGTGGGGCTATAACGAGCCTTTTTTGAGCAATCTTATTGGGAAAATTCACCATTCTCGAGTATTCTTACGGGGTACGTTCAGCGTTAAAGATTTTTGCATTGCTTAGGTGTGATCTAGGTGGAATCATAAAATCGTGAATCATCTCATGCTTCAATTACAAAAAGGTGTTAATTTATTTCAGTATTCCTCAGTCAGGTGTTGTTTTTTTCGTAGTACATATACATTAAAAAAAAACTAAAAAACCTAACATTTGTGTTTCTCAAAAGTAGTATTGTTAATAATAATGCGAAGAATGAAAGTTGAAAATCTAATTTACGAAAATGTATAATCCAATGATTAAAAGTTGTGATTTATGTACAATCACACTATTCCTTTAACACACACACCCACACAGAAAAACAAACTATTCGTTCTCAAAATCACAATCGCTTCCAGAGGAGCTGTCATTATCACCTTCTTCTCCTTCTCTTTCTTCTACTCTGCTTTCGTCAGTGGTCTCTTCATCCTCAAGTTCTCTGTTGAACAAAAAAAAATGTTAGTTAAACAATGTAACAACCTTGTATAAAGGAAACAAGCATATTACGAAATTTTTCATAGCATGCAATATATAGAGACAGAGAATTTTACATCGGTTTACATAGTTTATACATTCTTCTGTGCTTCACTTTTATAGTTGGTAAACTAAAAGTAAAAGCGACAGCATCCAATAAGGAGTGTAAAGGCTAAGCAGTATTCTTACATTTCGGTTTGTTCCTGCTCTCTCCTTTGCATGATTTCCCTTCATTCACCGGACAGCGCCCATTTAGGAGAACCTGTGGGTGGCTCTCTTTCTACAGGCTCCCCTTTACGAGCCTTCGTTCGTTTCCACCTTTTGTTTATTGTGTTTTCTGTCTTTTTGCTGCGCTTGTCAAGCCTAAGACAATAACAATATCATAATTAGAAGATGCCGTTGACTTGACTGAAACCGTGAAGTAAATCCAACCCTTAAACAAAAACGGGCAAAAAAGCGCTAATGGGTGACTAACAAATAAACTGACTTTAAAGCCTACCTGACATTGACAGTCCATCATTGCCAATAACAAGGAACAGTCTGGCAATACTGGACAATTTTTAGGATAGAAACATTTCCATCTTTCTTGCTATTAGAAATACCAGTAAAGGACTAAACCTTTAGTATGCTTCTTACTTGTTTAGAAAAACTTCAAGAGTTTTGCTCCTGTATTTTGGGGGCCTAGACACTCATCCTCCTTCGCCTTCATCAGTATCTATGTCATCATCGTCACTAGACATGTGCTCTTTACTTAACTTTGCGAAGGCACGGGACTCAGTCTCATCCTTGACATGAGCTTTTCTTCTCTCATATTTCTATGAGATATAGAAAAATTTGCTTTTTAGTACTTTTCAACAAACTTTCATTGTATCATTCAAAATGTATCATTTAAGTTATTTTAATGCATATTAACTGTATACTTACTCGTTCTTTTCGAAGATTTTTCTTATTTTTCAATTTTATTTCATCCGTTATTTTTCCAAGGGCAGTCCTCCGTAAGTGCTCATGATACTTTTTGGCAGTCCCTGAAAAAAACAAAAAAGGCTTTCGTGATTGGGGCCTTATTATCTGTTATGGACAATAAATCTTGGTTGCAGTGGTGTCCTCTAGTTTTAAATTGCTTATATAGTAAACTTACGTTCCAATGCTCATGATGAGACATGTTTGCTGGTGGGCTTTAAATCTTGTCTTCTCAACAAATATTTCCCATAAAACTTTATGAAAACAACTCTAACCCGGCAAAAATAGCAATTCTCTGCATGTTTTTGCAAAATCAACAATTAGTGACTGGTAAATGACTAAAGGAAAGACTAGCGATGTAAGGTAATCAAGGTTATTCTGCTGCCATAATAATGTTAATGATACTAAAAGGTTTTATATGACATTAATATCCTAATGTTCAAAGGCGTTTTACAACACCAGTGAAAATCTTAAAAACTCAGAATAAGAATCAGTCTAAAAGTAATATCAAAAGGTTTTTTTTAAGTCTTTTTCTAAAAATGGGCAACGCCAAACTATTTTTAATGTCATATGGCAAAGCATTCTACATTGTTAAGGCTGCCACAGAGAAGGATCTAGCACCATATGTTTTTACGTTGTGTGACAGAATAAAAAGATTTCTAACTGGTTAATGTAGTTAACCCAATGGGGTGTAGGGTGTAAGCATATCCCATATGTTCAATGGTGCCAAGTTGTTGAGTGCCTTATGGGTTATGAATCAAATTATAAAATTATGCAAAGATTCACTGGAAGTCGATGGTTACAATATGATCGTGCTTTCTTGTAAGGGTGATGAGTCAAGTAGCGGCAGTTTGGATGTGCTGTGAGGTATGCCATAAAGTAGAGCATTACAGTGAGCCAACTTTGGAGACTAACATGCATGAACTTGTAGTTCAGTGATGGACAGCGTTAGGAGCTTTATGATGCAGTTGATGTTTCAGAGATGATAAACAAAGATTTTAAAATATTAGCAACATGTTAATTGGAACAAAAGTGACTATCAAACAATACACCAATATTCCTCGTTTTCTGCGAGGAGTGAATGGTTTCTTCACAACTGAGATATCTCAAAGAAGTGGTCTTGAAACAGATTTGGTGGAGATTGTCAATAGTTCAGTCTTGTCTCTATTTAGATCTAGAGCAATTACCAGCATCCAGTGATTACTTTCATTGACACAGCTCTCCATGTCAGACACAGGTAGATCTCTATTACCAGGTATAGTTGGCTGGATGAACAAATAGAAGTGTGAGACATCAGCATAGAAATGATAGCTGAATTGAATTTCCTTTTAATGTCTGAAAGCGGTGACAGGTAAAGAAGATGTTAAATGGGTACTAAAGCAGATACTTGATAAACTCCACATCTAAGAGGATGTTTCACAGAGGTACCACCATTAATAGAAACATACCACATAAGATCAGACAGGTTCATGTAAGATTGTAACCATAGTAGAGGCTCACCTGTTATACTAAAAACTGAGAGAGCAGAACGCCATAATGAACAGTATCAAAAACAGCACATAAGTTATCTCCTTTCTCAAGCAATTCTTTGACCTTGTCCAAGTTATGAGCCCAGCACAAAGATTTTTCTTAATTCAGCTGATCAATAAGCGTAGAGGCAAATCTATGTTGATCTTTGTTGGCTTTCCATCAAAGCTGAGGTAGCTTTTTGAACTTTAACTTTTTTATCTCACAAATATGGGAATCAGCAGTGTGGGAAATTGCCCTCTTGTGATCAGATAATTAGTTGTTTAGCATTTGGTTCATCAAATCGAGGACTCTATGCCCATGGCTACATCTACAAGATTTGTTTTGATTATTCAATAAAACGGTGAGAGCTTCGACTCTGCCATCTCCTTCCAATAACTCATGACATACCCTTCAATGATCAGTTGATTTCTTAGCTTAAAGTGCATTAGCCAGAGCACTAAAACTTAAAGCTTATTTGTAAACCATATGCGACAGACACAAGATTGATTTCGAGACAACTTTTATTTAAATCAGTGATAAAGTTTCGGAGAATAGTTATAATTTATTTCAATCATCAGTGACTAGTGACACGCCACAGTCTATTCATCTACCTGTTGAACACCAAGTTCACTTTGGTGGCTCTCATTCTTGCATCCATTTCCTCCAGCAAACTTAAGCTGGGCACCAAAATTCAATGGATATCAAATAGATATTTTGAGGCTTTAAAATTCTATTTTATACATTCGTTTGGAGGAATGGGCCACAGAAAATAAAGCCCAAGTTGACACACACGGGAGCAAAAATGATAAAATTAATCTTTATTTACCCTGATTAAACAAATCACCTGAACCCAGAGGGAACAGTTGGTATAAGCTTTTAATCAGCACTGTAATTATGAAACACATGTTAAAAATATATACACATCTAAATAAAAGAACTAATAAGAAGATCATAACTATATCGGAAATAATTATAATACATGCATAAAAAGGAAAAGCGTTATAGATAGATACATACTAATGAGAATGAGAATGCTCCTTCATATCTGAATCAAAAAAATACCTTAAAGCCTTATTTTTCTGCATGTCGTGAATACAATATTTACGATGAGCTGATAACAATATGTATTGATTGGTTTTCTAATCGCTATGAAATCTCTTTGTCTCAATCTGCCTATGCCTGCCCATATGTAGCAATATTTAATCCTTTTATATTTATATTTGATTTAAACTTATTTTCTTTTAAATTTAAACTTCAACATCCAACATGTACTTGAATTTAAAACAAATTCTTATTTAAACTGTTCAATACTAGTTTAAATTTTTTATTAAATCTAGTTTCCCATTTAATTTTAACATTTAAACTGTGCTTTTAATTTTGTCGCAATATTTCTTTCAGTTGCTTAGGTTTGATTTAATCCTTTTCAGTCATTTAAATTTAAACTTTTTAAAACTTATGTAAAGTTACGAATTATTATTTGTATTTGATTTAAACTGCGAAATTATAGGTAAACTTCCTGGGGCGAGGTTGACCAAGGTCACGTGAGTGTCACATGTTCATCATCAGTGGCCGTTACGTTTGGCGGGATATCAGAACGACTTCGATAAGTTTTGATTCCTTGGACTTTCTTGATTTTGCTGTCAGTTTGCTGGGAAGGAAATAAGCTCCGTCAATCCGAACAAGCAACTCTAAAATGGCTGATGGGCTAGAGAAATTTTTGAAATATGTGTTGGAGAATTCAAGGAAATAAATGGAGGCATTCACCATGAAAGTGGAGGAGACGACTGTGAGAACTTGCTAAACGAACTGCTGTTGCACGTCAATTAACTTAGCAAGACTGTCCAGTTCTTTTATGAAATTGGAAATATATCATCTCTTGACAATGATAATAAGATAAAATGGAAAGATCTGGAAAATGTTTATTCTGAGGTAGAAAAGGAGTTTGTATGTCTCAAAACCCAGAAATTCTGTGTTAAAACATAAAGTATCATAGACAGTCACACATTTATTTCTTCCAACTCAAAATCCAATAAATTGCATTCCAATAAATAAGGATTTTACCGAGACCCACAAGTGCCCTCCATATATAGCGCTTTGTTTGGTAGCTTGTGAGAAATGTTAATAACCATTTTCATTGCACTGCATTGGGAATGAGTGAAATTATCTCCGAAGAAGATTTTGTTACTGTTTAACCCTGGACACCATAATATCACTATGCATTTAAACAAAGCAGTACCATAAAAAAACAAAGGGAAATTACCTGTTTACGTCAATACCGATGTAATCTGGCTGGAATTTGAACCAGGGCATCCAATCTATTAACAGTCACTCCTTCATTTCTCTGCAGTATAGAGAACGTTGATTCTCTGGAAGTCCCCTTCCATCAACTGCTTTGTGCTAGTTGTAAATTCTCTTAATGACACAGGCCCCACTTTTATGGCCTTTCTGTTCCAGAAATGAAATAACTCCAGGATTAATTAGGCGCTCACAGTCTGGCACCGACTGCTTGTTTTTGCTAGTAAGTGTCTCATATGTCAAGCCAGTAGATGGGTCATGAAGAGCATCTCTGAGGAACCGTAAATCCAGTCCTGGAATTAAGCCCTCATGGAGGTGGGATATTATGCGTTTAAGTAGATGATTATGATCTTCACGGTGGTGATTCTTCTCTCCATTGGCATCCTTCTCAGGTTGATAGAGGTACTCAGAGAAATTTGCAGAATCAGTGTCATGACATTTGAGATCCTCCACTTTTTTGCGGTAAAAATAAATTGCCATTATTGATCTCAGTACATCACTGGTTGTTTCTGGTCTGTCTATACATGAGAAATTTTAAATTAAAAAGATTAATAAGGAGAGGGAAGCATTTGGCTTTATCTCTGGGAGTTACATGCATGTGTTCTTCTAGGGATCGGCTCCATGGGTGAGCTAGAATAGTAGTAAGCCAACAGTGAAATCAATCTCATCTTTGGATATTAAAAAATATGAAATTACCTCATCTTGCTGAGTAATTTTTTTTTCATGACAGTAGAATAAGGTAATTTACATTCAATCCATGGATGTGGATTATGCATGAAGGGAAACAGTTTCCTTCTAAGTATCAGTAAGGCATCTTCAAATGGAATTGGTTCAGTCTGGCTAGTATGAATGAATGCAGCCACCTCACATCTTCCACTGGAACTGCTGGGTGTTGACGCAGAGGAGGAATTCCTATTGAATCAATATAGCAGCTACTACTGACACCAGTATTTAATGGAAAGGTGGGAAAGGGACTAGAGTTTGAATAGAAGCGGGCTACACATTGTTGGCAACCAAATTAGAATAAATAGGTACAATTGCCATGCAAGTATTTTATTAATACTTGTTTGTCTGAGGGGGGATTTGGAAAGCAACTGTTTAAACTAAAACATTTAACCATATTAAATTATCAAAAGAACTTCATACCATGACTACTAAGTTGCAGATAAAAAGATATTTTGCTCACACCCATACTTCGTGCTTCATTTTTGGAATCACGAATGAGCTCTATGAGAGATATAGGTCACACGTTACCTCCAGTGCAAAGAGAATTGAATTCACCATCAGTAGTAAAACCTAAAAAATAGAAAAAAAAATTGAAGGAAAGATGTAGACATTTTCACAATAAAAGAAGCAATGACTGCAAATGCTGTAATGAATGGGTTTTAACCACTTTGTGGGTCTTTGTGTGGGATCTGAATACCTAAAGTAAATAACTACAATGTATGAAACCTCTTCACCTACCTACAACTGTCATTCCTTCACTTCTCATAGCGTCCTCTAAATCCATCTCTAATTTTCTCAATTTTTAAATCAGTTAGAGACTTTTAGGGCATGAAACGCACAGGAATTGCATATGGTTTCTTGTTTCTTAATTCATCCGCAATCATAAACACCAATACATGGCTAGCAGCAGTACGCTTCTTTGAGAACAACTCTTTTAGATAAATTAACAGGCTTGATTTCAATGCGGTAAGATTTCTGGTGTTTGTATTTCTCATACTGTCTGCAAATGATCTCAGCTCCACTTGCAAATTTCTTCATTTCTCCACCAGTTTTTCAAATTCCACCACACTCCAAGGCAATTCCATCAATTTCTGGTCTGATGACTTTCCAACTTGAATTGCCTTGGTGTAAACACCACTAGCAACCTCAACACCAGCAGTAAGAAATTCAAAATCACTCTCCAGATCAACCAGCAACTTCTCTATTTCTCTCTTTTAGCAAGCTTCACAAAAACACATCTGGTCTTGTAATCAGTATACAAATTCTTGAGAGAGCCATCTCCAAGATCTTCATCACCAGACCACGTTCCACGCATGCTCTCCCTTGAGCCCTTTCTGACATCAAAGGCATCTGCCTTGATCCACCATCTTCCTTGTGGGTTAGAATTTTTTGCTTGTTTGAGCACTTTCATCTAAATTTAGTAGGATCAAGCATTGACTAACATTTAGAAACACTGATAGCAAACATAGATGCGTGAACAGTCTAGTGACCATCCTCATTTTAATTGCAGAAACCTAAAGGTTATACCCAGTAGATTGGATTTCTTACAAGTACTCATTGAATCCACTTGAATTATACATTAACCAAGTTAAGAATAAGCAAGAAACACAGTCTTTAAGCAGAATGAAAAGAAAATGCAACTCGAGGTAGATGGCAGTGAGTAATGTTTGGAGTACCTAATAAACCAGTATTTATTTGAGTAAAAATACTACTTTTTAAGAAATTAAAGTTATTGCAATCAAAATTTGAACTTCTTTACCTTTAGGCCATCTTATTTCTAACTTTATCATCGCTACATTTAAATTAGTTATCAACTGTCCACCAAAAATGATGCAGGTAAATTACAAAACTTACTTGAATATCAACTGTTTTAGAAAATCCAGAAGTTGAGATGTATTGCTGGATCTGACGTACTCCAATGCTTGCAATATTAGTTTTACTCTTCAAAGAAAAATGACATTGTATACATCAGGTTATTTCAAAGCCAAACAACTTACACCTGTACACACCCAAATAGAAATGATTTTCCTTAGCACCTCATGATCACAATTATTGTGCCAAACGTCTGGAATTAATAATATTTGTTTAGGAACTGGTACCACAGATATTTAAATCAGGAAAACTGTGTTGTTCTGCTAGTAATGTATTTTTTTACGTTGGCCATGGGAAAAATAGTTCTATTTCCATCTTGCAAGTGCAAGATGAGGAAAATCAGTTAAAAAAATTAACAACTGATAAGGTTACCTCAGTTTTGATTACCTAGGATACAAAGGGCACATCAACCATACACCTGGAATAAGAAATGTGTGTTGACCTTTAACCCTCTTACATTGGCCTTCAACAACCAATTTAATACCAACCTTCAGAGGATTGTACATCCCAGGATTCCTTGTTGTACAGTTTCCAGTAGGTTGCACACCATGAATCCTTTCCATATGCTGGAAGGACAATAATCCAACTTCTATATCCATTTGTTGACTTGTTCACTCCTCTTCAACTTCAACAGACTCTTCTTAAACAGTCTCCTCTTCCACTGACACCTCTTCACCTAATACCTCTGGTTCAATTTCATACTGCCATGCTGGTCCTCTGTGGAGACATAGCCACTTATGCCCAAAATGGGAAAACATTGTTGCCAGCCACGATACATAACGCTCCTCAATACCAAGCATTTGAGTTGTTCCCTTTGCGAAGAAATGAATGTTATAATCCAGCAAACCAAATGGTATTTGGTTAAGAGGCATCTGAGGAATATCATCTTCAAAGCATTTTGCTAAGTCAACAAATTATGTTTGCCATGAGTAAACGAATTTTTCATGGCACTTAGGCTTGAAACCAGAAGGCCTGTTTTGACATATTAAAGGAATTCATGTCCCCCACTTTCCATAACAGCTTTCTTAAACAAATGACTTAGAATCTGCGACCGTAACCTTGATGACATTGCATATTTGAAGCTTGCAACAAAGTCTTTGATCAGATCCCCAACACTGCGAGTAAGTGGTGGTATATCCTTACATGGAGAAAACTGGAAGGTAGGGGACAGAGGATTATCAAGTGTGAGTGCAGTTGACCTTTGTGAAGTGCTGCTGGGCTGAAGTTCACCAAAATCAAGTCCACTGGAAACATAATCAATTTGCAATGCCTCCTCTGCCTCTGACAGCGTCTTGAAATGTATAGATAAGTGCTTTGTCACCCTTGTTCAACAACTGCTACCTAAAGACAAAAGAACAAGTAGTGAGTTCCCCAAACGAGGAAGTAACAGTGTTACTGAGCTTGTTGAAATTAAAACACATCAGATTAACATCATGGAAATTATAGTAAA